TGTGTATGGTTGGGGCTGGCGCAGTCTTCCTGTGTGAAGCGCCAGACCCCTTCACACCATGGAATGATGATGATGRTGTATGTTTGGGGCTGCATTGCAATATTGATTGTTCGGATCATTGGTATCTAAGTCTTCCGCTGTGCTATCTTATACTTTGTATTGAAAGGTCGGTTCTTGTTCTGGTCTGCACCTATACGGTATGCAACACTACAGCAGATGTGACCTGGGTTCAAAAGTGAAACCATACACCGTCTGACCTACCGTCTTCACCCGAATAGAACGCCCGGTCATTATAGCTGTATTTGGCACAACTTTCGGTCCAGATGCAGCGATAATGACCGGGCGTTCTATTTGGGTGAAGACGGTAGCTGGGTTAGTACACCCACAAACTGTTGAAATACAGACCTGACTTCGAATTCCGATTGAAAATCAGATTATGAGTAACAATAGCTCTAAGTTTACCTGGGGTCAGTCAGTCCAAAGATGACATCACAAGGCTGTTGCCCTTACTTAAATAAAAAGAAGTGAAACCGTGCTGGTGTTGATATCCACCCAGCCAGTGCCTGGGTGCAGCATGAATGCACATTCCCCACAGGACATCCTTTGAGGCCCTCCTAGAGGACACGTGGCCCTTCTCGTGCAGCCAACAGGTCGGGGTAAAATTTTCCTCCGCGAGAAAATTTTACCATGAAGATTCATTGCAGAAGCAAAAGTTTGCACTTTCTTCTCGGGCAACCCACCAGCGATGTCAGGCTCAACAGTCAGATGCCTTAACCATTGCAAACATGACGACATGTAGCATGAACACACACGCCCCACATGACCCGTACCGCTCATTGTCTTCGGTCCCTTGTCCCTTTGCTTCCATCCCCTTGAGCTCAATACCCTCTGTCCGCTAACAACTCATTGTCTCCCTTTTGTCGCTGTTCTCCCACCCTGTCGGGATTGTTGCACTTACAGGCATCAGTGAATGGTACAATTTATGCTAGGCAGACAAACAGACACACCCACCAAGTACAGAGAAAACGAGCGAACGAGCGAGCGAGCGAGAGAGAGAGACAGAGAGAGATGTTGTCTTCTCGTGTCTCTAACTCGTCACCACCTCGCTCCCTCCCCCCTCCCTTCTCCCCCTTCTTCTTCCTCGCCATGGACTGTCCACATCCATTTGTCGTGTATCTCCCCCTTCTGGTGTTGCATCGTCGACGGTCTTCCCTGATGTCCGCCCCCGTTCCTTCCCCGTGGTGGTTGCCTTCCCATTCCACCCTTGATGAAATATGTAGTACATCGCTGTGAGCACGTTGGTCATCACGCGCCTCTGGGTTTCTGACTGTGCCATCATGGCCCGTTTTCCCCTTTGTCCTCTTCTTCTCTGTCATAGTTTCCCTCGCCGGATTGACACCACCATCCGCCCCCCCCCGTCCATCTCTCTGTTTCATCATCATCGTCCGATCGCTGCTCCTGTGTCTTCATCTTCCCTTTCCCCAGCCAGGTGTCTGCTTGTCGCCATCTTCCTTTTGCCCATCATTGTGATCGCTGTGCGAATTTCCATGTCAGTCCGTGTTGTGTGCATTGCTGTGGCCGTGCGCATTTTCGCAGGCATTCTTTCCCTTGTACCCGTTCTTTTACCGGGGCGAGTCATCTCTTCACTGCTACGTGATGCTGTAGGTTTCCATTTCTGGGCGGTCTTCGCATTTCCCCAGGCTGGTCTCCTGGGCAGCATCATGCGCAAACTGGTCTTCCTTTCAGTATATTGAAAAATTGTAGAAGTGAAAGAAAAGAAAAAGAAGTAGAAGTGATATAAGTCAGAGAAGTTAAGGGTAGACGGCCATGCCTTCAGGGAGTCAACAGAGAAGGCAAGGATCTGAACCATGGGAGTAGCGCTAACCAACCGGGTTTGAACACGGGATCTGGTTTTCAACAGTAATATGCGTGTACGCCGTGTTGTACTGTGTATCGTACCACCATTCGGCCGCCAGGGCTAGGTAGTAGGTAGGTATCCCATTCATTTGACACTGGTTCTGTCAGAAATGCATTGACTCAGGTCTTGTGGCTCGTGTGAAATCATCGGTCTCCGTTTCTCAGAGTTGTTTTTGTCAATTTTTAATGTGAATTGTACATGCAGATTGCTTTGACGTCAAAACGGGAACGTCCAACGAGTTCGAGTCCTTAGGAAAGAAGAAAAACAGAAAAGAGAAAATGTTTCTAGAGTCCATGAACTTTTCCCTTATGTTTGGTTCATCTCATCTATGCTCATGGAATGTGCATGCGTGGTCTACGGGTGTGGTTGTGCACCAGGAACAACACTGGTCTCATCCGGGAATGGCAATAGGACTGAAAGCTGCTGCGAGTCATTCCAAATCAGGAAGGCTGAAACATGCATGTGATGTCGCGCCTTCTCTGCTCATGATCTATTTCCAGACAGCGATCCAGCATGTTTCACAAGGTGACCACATGCAAAATCCTTGTTTTTCTTTTCTTTTCCGGAGGAAGGGGGGCGGGGGGCCCAGGTGGGAGGGGGGTCCATATATTAAACTATCGTTCATGTATAATAATAGTAATACTAAATTTATAGTCCATCCGAAGCGGGACTGTAAATGTAATGTATCAAGAGAATAATGACGCTTTCTAAAGGGATGTTGTTGGACCAAGATCACAATGTATCTGAAATGTACATTTAAGTTTTAACTTTTAAGTTTATGGTCAAGTAACACAGGGATCCCTTCGTAAATCACTATGTGTTAGTGGACCATTAACTTGGTTTTAACTTTTAAGTTTTAACTTGCTCAACTTTTCCCTTCAGAAAGGGATCCAAACTTCCAAAGCAGACTGGAAATGTGAAGCGTCAAGACTCAAGAGAGTCAAGACTAAATGGAACGACGTGTTTTGAACTTTTTTCAACTTTTTTGGATTTATGAAGCAGCACTCCCGTGTTGTGGTGATATATAATTTTGGAAAATGAAAGTACTCTTGTTGGATACTAACATAGATAAATAAATATTAAATATGCGTCCTTCCCAACATCCGTTATAATTGGAACGATAGAGAGAAAGAAGATTAGCAAGGCCACTGCGCAAGGATGACACGCTTAAATCGAGAAATGGTCCAAATGGCAAATACCAACCAACCAAAAAAAAAAAAAAAAAAAAAAAAGATAAATAAATATGTTCTTTGTTGTCCTGTCTTTAAAGGGACAGGTTCTCAACAACTGATTCACAACTTTTTTTGTTTTTTTTTTCAACTTTGCGTGATCAGTGATCACCAAATTGAATCGCGCGCAAAGCGGGGCCCATCACAGGGCTGTCCAACCTGAGTAACCTGTGCTATGACCGGAACCGGTGACCTTTCTTTCCTATCTCCTCGACTCCTGCAGGAGCACGGACAAACACAGAGGAAAGAAGAAAACAGTGCACGTGAATATGTGAATTATATTTCATATTTTTATTATTTAAGATAAGTTTATAACTTTATAAGTTTATAATAATCTGTAAAATTTGATAAAATTGTATTCCTTTGCCTCCCACAGCCTTCTGGAAAGGTGTGTATGGAATCAAATTGAATGAATTCCCTGGTGCAGTGCTTGTGTTGTTGGACACATAAAATATGACTCATGATGTGTAAGTTAGAGCATACTTGAACTAGGGCATTTGTTGATGCATCTGACCGCAATTACAGCCCATTGCGGATGTATCCGGCTGCAAATAAACTATGACTCAATCTGTATTATCAACACGATGTTTGTTTCAAATTGGTATTATCAATTTGTAATTTTGTATACAGTGATATACACTATATATCGATATGTGGCACACGGGAATGTGGGCAGCGCGGGCTCAATTTCATCAACGTGGAGACTTTGGAGAGCCTTGTACGTGAGAGGCACAGCAAAGGGAGAACTAAATAAAAGAAGAAACGATCAAAAGAACGGTTTCCGTGCTCTCTTCATGTTTGTCTTCTGTATTTTTATCGATTGTTTGTTTTGCAAAGTGCACCCCTTTAGTTCATTGATACGGTTTACGGATGAGTTGGTGAAACTCTGACAAAACAGGAAGAGAGCACGGATGAGTTGGTGAAACTCTGACAAAACAGGAAGAGAGCGCGGATGAGTCGGTTTACCGATGAGTTGGTGAAACTCTGACAAATCAGGAAGAGAGCATGGATGACGGGAAGAGAGCACGGATGAATCGGTTTACCTATGAGTCGGTGAAACTCTCACAAAACAGGAAGAGAGCACCGATGAGTCGGTTTACCGATGAGTCGATGAAACTCTGACAAAAGGGGTGAAACTACCGATGAGTCGGTGAAACTCTGACAAAACAGTCTCTCGCAGCACCCCTCGTTTGTTGTCCTCTTGTCCCTCTCTGCCTACGGTTTACTGTCGGCAGTTCTGTTATTATGAATCAGTATTGTTTATGAAATGCAATGCTTGCCTCTTTGAGTTAGTAAGGGATACCGATGGGAACCAGTGGCTGTAAAACACCCTCAATCACTTGGCCATGAGTTCATCAAACCACCTGAAGATCTGACGAATGCGGTTCGGCTAGACAAGGACGGACCCCCTTGAGTGAGATTTGGACGGTTATAGAAACGGGGATGTGATTAGTACTGATCATACTTGCGGCGCATCGGCGTGCGCTGCACCGCGCACACGCGCTGCACTGTGCACAGAGCACGACGCGCGCGCACGGGGTGCGGCGCACCCCAAAAATAAGGGGTCGAGAAAAAAAAAAAAAAGGTTGGGGAGGGTTGTTTCAGACCCGAGTGGGATGTCGCGTCATAAACCACAAAAAAATATTGACAAAAATTTGAGGCCGCGCGGGGCCTCCGGAAAAAAAAAGGGGGGAAGTTCGTTTTTTTGTTTGTGTGTGTGTGTGTGTGTGTGTGTGTGTGTTGTGTGTGTGTTGTGTGTGTGTGTGTGTGTGTGTGTGTGTGTGAGAGAGAGAGAGAGAGAGATGGCGGGAAGAGGGAGAGAGAAGTAGCGATGGTGGATGGCGGAAGGCGGGAGAAAGGCCGAAGGTGGGATGGTGGGAAGCGGCGGAAG